CCTCATTGTTACGCCCCGTCGGCTGAAACGGCCAGCATGTTTGGTGGGTGTGGGTTTCGAACCCGCGTCCCTCTGATTGCGAGTCGAGCGCCCTAACCACCTGGCCATGCCGGGCTATTAATTAGTGATGTTATTTTAACTTAACCTGGGTGTTTTCTTTTAAAGTTTATTTCAAATGTTTAACTTATAACAAAAGCTACATACACTGTATAGCTATTCGCACATACACACACACACACACACACAGGATCACTTGCCTGATTATTAATTGTGATATTTTAGAGTATTCTATTCTTATTTGTGTGTATTGCAAACTGTGAACGTGTCATTAAACATTCGTTGTTTGTGTGAAGTTGTGTCTTGTCTGTGATATAACTTGCAGCTCAAAGGGAAACGCACTTCAAAACCTGAGAACCTCCGTTCTTAGCGGGCCTGTCTTCTCTATTCTACTGATTAACTGAGAGAGATATATATCAGACATTTTCTACATTATAACTTTCTCGGGTTCCAAGTCAGGTATTTTATTAGATATACTTACACAAGGCTCCCGAAAATGTTCTGTTTCAAGAGTAAGTAAAACCGAAGTTAAGAGTAACAAATATTTGTATTTCTTGCTTTTGAAGTTTGTATGTCATGCTGTGTTGTGGCCTCCGGAGTGCATAATTCTTCTCGTGATTTATGCATGCACACGTTTTACTGACGTTACGACAGTACAAGATGCAACGTTAAGGATCTTTTATTTGACGTATTTACTGACTGACTGACAGACAACACATTACTGTAAATAGTTACCCGCTTGTCCTGTGTTCAAAGGATGGCGGCTGAAGTTTACATAACCATTACGCATTATGCCGATACCTGAGTGTTACATAACCATTATTTAATATATGCACCGAGGGTTACATAACTATTATGTAATATACCGTCGCCTGGGGTTAAGCAACTGTTGCGCAATATGCGGACAATTGAGGATTACATAATAACCTGAAGGTTACAAAAGTGTTATATAATATATACCAGATAGTGATGATGTCCACGAAGCGGAAATAGAGAAATAGAGGGTGCGACTATTCTAGATAGGAGTTGTTGCCATAGTTCAATACCAGAGGGCCTGTTACTATAGGAAGACGGTGTTATCAAGGTTTATAGGCGGGTGTTGTTACTATAGGCGATGGCGTTATCAAGGTAATATAGGCGTACGGCGTTCCCAAAGTTTTGTATCCAGACGATGTTACTAAGGTTTTATGCAGAGGGCCTTACTAAGGTTGATGTTACTATGCGGATACTTCTGTATGTGATCTCATCACGTGTTTTAACATGTCATCAATGTCTAAATTTAATAAGGTTCTAAAAGTTATAAGTATAATCATTATTTTAACAAACAAGTATCATAACACTGTTACACATGTCAGTATTATCATATGTATTACCTAACATTTGAACGAGGTATATATTATAGCCAGTAATTTAATTGACATGCTTTTGCAATTATCTGTCATGACAGGATTTTATCATACCTAATGTTTTTATAAATATTGAGCTAGAAAGCCAATTGTGTTTTTATGATTTTGTACATATTCAAAGTACTGATTAGGCAAAGTACCATTTGTATATTTTGCTTCTATATCTAGTCGTATTTTTTGAATTTCGTGACATTTTTTATTTCTATAATTAACATTCAATCGTCCTGAAAAGGACGCTTATTTATCACGTTTAGCTTCATAAGTTGATTGCTAAAGTTTGAAGGAATACTATTATAGAAAATCTTTGTCGCGAGCTTCCTGACTGAAACTAACAACATATAGCAGTTCTTTCCATTTATATCTGAAGGTCATTAACTTAACAATTTTGCTACAATTAAGTATGATAAATGATTTACTGTTTAACCAAACACCTGAAAATTATATAAAGTATTTAAAACAGCAACACTTACCATTCTTCTATAGAACATTCACTTGCAGTACAAAACATACTATACAACAAAAATTCATAAAACTCTTTGGTTTTAAAGTACAGATATAACCGAACTTTTATCCATACGTTAATCAAAATGTTTGTCAAGATGCATATAAACATTCTTTTAGTTTATATCTGTGAGTTACTGATACCATGGACACAATTCACTCTCATTTATTGTGACGTGTTCAGCCTAAGGCCAATTAGTCCAACTGATTTCAAAACAGCTGAGCTGACACCGGAAATAAAAGACATTGGAATATTTTTACATTTTATTGAGAGTTTTAGCTTAAATTGTTCAAATTTAAAATAGTAGAGGTTTCTCACATCTATTCTTTTATTTTCATAACACATTTGCTATTTATCTTTACAGATTACACTTTACAACAAAGAAACGAAACTAAAGTCATGACACTTTCAAACGTATATATTTGATGGCAAATCAGAAATTCTCTTATACTATAACCAACATATTAGATAAATTTAGATTATAACGATAATGTACAATTATTGTACTTTACAACAATTGGTCAAAAGTTCAGGCTGTGTCAGTCAGCATAGAATATTTTTTCATAATGAAAAATCGATTCATTTCTACTTAGACATGTGAAATGTATAAGATTTCATTATACACTCGAATAGCAACAGTCCGGATAGTGTTTGGTCACAGGTTAACTTTACAGTCTAATTATTATTTTCAATACCTCATGTTATAATGTTTCAAAACGAATACATATTTTGAAACACCCAAAATTAAGTGTTGCTATATATTCAGACGACGTTTTCAAATATGGTATGTTGAGATCATTGAGAACCATATGACAAAGGACAGTTCTGAGTTGACCAAGTCTATTTTGCAGTATATACTGAATTTAAAAGTCAGTCAACATGGTGATACAAAACACTAAATGCATTCAATATTTCACGGAACATTTCAGTTAGTGTACAATTCTTGTATACGTTTCTATTCAATTAGACTCCATAAACTGATTATTCACGTTTCAAACGCATGTAAGTAAAACCACAAATTCTAAACATATCTTTTCTTTTACATTTTAAGAATTATATAACGTCATCTGATATTGCTTGCATATTACAGACATATGGCTAGACATTAAATTTAAAACAAAACAACACAAGTTTGGTTTTCGAGTTATTGATCAGAACAACTGTTTCTACTGACTTTTTTGGCCACACATTTGTTCCAGAATTATTTTATTTCACCAATGTCTAGTTATAGCTTATATTACTTTTGCCTGTAGCCATTGATTTACATTCCATGACTTTATACAAACAATTCTGTACATTAATAAAATGTTTAATAATTTTAGAACTTTTAGTTAAAGATAGTTCTTGTAAATATTTATAATGATGATAGGCCAACCATTTGTAACCGTCTGGTATAGGTTTGAGTATGTTATGTTAAAACGATTTGGAATAAAAAAATCAGCAAATCACATGAAACCACATCCAATATAAGGTCATGGTGGAATGGAATGTGTCAAAAATACATTTGGGCATCGTTTAGCGTTTTATAGGTATCGTGATACCACTGAGAATAGAAAATGATATGTAACAGCTTTTTGTCACTCAAAATATTCATACACTCAGAATATAAAAATGTGTTTAGATCAGGGAATTAGAATTTCCAAGACTGGGATACGTCAGTGGGGCAAAAATAATGTGGATCATCTTGAGAAACCAGGATTATCATGAAAGTAGATTGCAAGAAGCCATATCTCCACCACTGTAGGCAAAAATATAACAGGTAATAATCGACGAATGTAAAGGGCAGTAGCAGAAGCTATCCACGTGTTCAAGGCTACTGTTCGTTTATTTACTGTTAACTACAAGCAACACATTGAGCTATATGTGCTGTACTCACCACAGGTATCGAAACTTGGTTTTTAGCATTATGAGCCTTCAGTCTTACCGCTGCGTCACTGTGGGCATATGCAAGACAACAAGAAGGGTCATTGTCTCGAAACGAGACCAATAGGGTATAGGTTCACCAATGTAAGTCTTTCAATCATACCTCTCGTTCAACAGTCGTATACCTTAATAAACAGCTGGAGAATGAAATGGTTATTCATGCTATTCTATATGAAGACATATTTTTCAAGTCACTGGATGCAGCATCTATGGAATCTGTGCAACCGGACTGTTGAAATGGGCACTAGAAAACACAGGAAGATGTGGTGTGCTTTGATTATAACAGTATTATGACGGGGCCTTTGCAATAAAAACTACGCTGCACATCTCTTAACAAGATGCGCGGTTGACAAATAGAATATGGTTGAACGTGGTGACATGGGCTGTAACGACGTGAAGAGGCTCCAAAATCGTTCCAATATAACATACTGAACCCTCTATGTTACCGCTGAATAGATTTTATATTGTAGAAATTTCTAGAACTGTAGAGTCAACGAAGTGCTGAAGAGAATATTGACACAATATAAAAAGAAATCTTCACTGTCATTACAAAATTACTGTGAATTGGTAAACAATTTGTAACAGTCTGAAATAAATACGCCGCGTATAAGATAGTATAGGGTAGTATACATTACAATAATACTTTCATAACTTCACGTTTAAGGTACTATACATTACAATAATACTTCCATAACTTCAGGTATAAGGTGGTATACATTACAATAATACTTCCATAACTTCACGTTTAAAGTAGTATATATTACAATAATACTTTCATAACTTCACGTATAATGTAGTATTTTTTTTTCTCGTAGTCCTTGCGGACCGTTGAGGCGATGGCAGATCTTGCTCTGCCATCGTTTCTAAAGCTGTTTTTTACGTCAAGGATGCAACCCACTTGACAGCCTTCCCTCTTTGAAAGTGCGAGCATGTTTGGTGTGACGGGGATTGGAACCCGCGACCCTCAGATTGCGAGTCGAGCGCCCTAACCACCTGGCCATGCCGGGCCATAAGGTGGTATACATTACAATAATACTTCCATAACTTCACGTTTAAGGTAGAATACATTACAATAATACTTCCATAACTTCAGGTATAAGGTGGTATACATTACAATAATACTTCCATAACTTCACGTTTAAAGTAGTATATATTACAATAATGCTTCCATAACTTCAGGTATAATGTAGTATACATTACAATAATACTTTCATAACTTCCCGTATAAGGTAGTATAAATTACAATAATATTTTCATAACTTCCCGTATAAGGTAGTATAAATTACAATAATACTTTCATAGCTTCATGTATAAGGTAGTATACATAACAACAATACTTTCATAACTTCACGTATAGGGTAGTATACATTACAATAATACTTTCATAGCTTCATGTATAAGGTAGTATATATTACAACAATACTTTCATAACTTCACGTATAGGGTAGTATGCATTACAATAATAGTTTCCAGGAAATAAATGATAAGTTTATAGGAATCTAAAGGTATTTGTATCGTGCTTCGCTTTCAAAATTTACTAACTATATATACGTTGTTCTATGAAATGAGATAAGATGTGTTATCAATAAAGAAATATTAAGCTATACATATGCAGAATCTGAAATGAACTTAAAGAATAATACGTAAATATACCAAAATAAAAAAACAAATGTTGTGTAACATTAATTTTTTCACTTGCGTGACTATCAAACGAGACAAATGAGCCTATACAATCTTTATTTGATGTTTGGTGAAAACAGGGTGTTTACTGTGTTGTTTCATATCATGAACTATGTCCTAGAGAAGAACTAAACCAAAACAAAAGGCTGCAATGATTTAAGTAACTAAACGCGTCCGCTTAAACACAAACCTCTAGTTTAACTAAAACAGAAATATGCACAAATATTAAAATTGCGAAATAATTATAGCATCAGTTGTTATTAACTAGTTTACGAAAAAATGAATAAACGTTCAAAGAAGTTTTCTGAAATGAGGGTAAAATAAACAACAACTCTAAGTGCAGATCGTTACAGATGCATACAGACTGATGTATAATATGAATAATGACTGGAAAACATACCTCAAACTTCAATATAAGCGATTCGTCCTCCAGTCTTTCTCTAATTACCGCTATTGATTCACTTAAAGTATCACGTCGCAGTAAGGGAAGAGAAACGTACTTTTTTTGGGAAACTTGAGAGATAAGGGTGTCCTTTCTTTCTTCTCTGTCATATACTACAAATGTAAAAAACTGTGAGTAGATTACCCCCATATTGTAGTAATAAAATAATAAAGATTTTATCCAAAAACTATATTTATCTGTGTGAATTTTTTTTTAACTTCCAAAATTTTAAAAATTTCGACATTTGTTTCCTGTAAAACTAACAATAATAAACGTTAATGATAATAATAACTAAATTCTTACTGATTGATCGATTGATTTTACAATAGTTTTTTTCTTCATTAATATTTCTCTTTAAAAAAATATATTAAAATACTCAACTTTCATTATATATGAATAATGATTCAAAAATAAAACAAATACAGGCTACACGTCAATATTCATATACCGTTATTGTCACTTACCCGTGTGGCACACTCCCGGAATACAGAGAAATGGAACATTGTAATAAAATAAACACATTTACAAAAATCATTAGTCCATGCTAACTGCCGAATTAATGTGGTCTTTCCCGTCAGTTACAACAGTGCGAAGAACAGGAAAACAAGCACAAAAGGCAAATACCTAAACGTACAAAGGCAAATTTCTCGAATAATTTCTTTACATTAACATAAGTGGAAAGAACACTCGAAAAGCTAAAGCTAAACAGACTGTGTTATCGCCTTTACCATGGAAACGAAAAAACCTGCTTTATTTCTGTTACTCAAGTATTTAAAACTTTTAATTCTTACACACAAGTAAATATGATTTAAATATTTACGGTGGCACTAGGGAAGATAATTTACACATTTGGAGACTGATTATCATGTTTGCCATATCCCGACTGAGGGTTATATTTCCCCGGCAATCATGTCCTATATATTTGCTTCCTCTGCATCATAACGATGGTCCTGTGGCATTTTTCTGTGAAATCAGACTTATTTGGAAAATAGCTAAGTCAATGTTGCCCTACTACTTGTGTCCAGCTTTCTGTAAACTAGCTGATGTCGAAATGCACGCTTAAGCTGGAAGAGGCACACATTTCTATTGGACTTGGTTCGGACAGAGAGAGAGAGGGACTTGGTAGATGGGGGACTTTATAGTGATTCAAGCTTTCTTTCGGCCAACTTTCTCGCAAAAAAACAGTAGATTTTGAGGAAAAACTGAAACCTTGTGGTCTTTGTCTTGAGCCTTTGTAAATTTTGCATCCTTGTATATTATCTTGTTGACAGCACAATGACTCTTCCTTTTGGTGCCTCACTCTTCGCTTTGCATATGAAGGCGTTGGCTGTTTCCGATTGGTTTGGGGTGTGGTTTTGGATCCCGCTGCTGCGTTTACTCTATTGTGCGAGTTGTTCTACTTTCATGGAGAACAACGAAGATTATTTTCTTCGAAATGTCTTGTCCTTTACATCTACAGCGATTCTAAGTTTCGCTATATTAGAGAGAACAATCACACCCATTCAAAATGTGATCAAGTTTAGAGGCACTTTATAAGCCCGGTCAACACTTTTGATATCTAGCTATCATTCATAGAGAAACGGTAGCTGTTTACATGTGTATCCATAATGTTTAAATACCCTGTGTATTACGTTGAATAATAAATGAAATACCTGATTCGATAAAGTGGACTGTGTAGTTTAGTTGACGAATATTTGTTCTGATACGTGCAAAGTATATATATTTTTCGTTAGAGTTGCCCTCCGGTGGTTTAGAGATAAGCCTGAAAACTTATAAAACTAAAATTAGAGTTTCGATACCCACGTTCGAAAGAACACATATCGCCCATTCTTTAGTTTTGTGCTTAATAACAAACAAAAACAAAGACACAAATACTTTAGAGTTAAATTAAATAAATCAAACAAAGAATCTCAAATAAAAAAATATATTGATTATGAGTAATACTACACAAATATTTTTAAAAACTGCACAAACAAACCATTTTAACATTGAACTCTCAGTATTTTGTAGTTTGATCGTTATAAACAATAACCTTTTTGTAGATACTTAACATCATATTATTTGTCCTATTCTAAGACTAATTTCCATTTGCTTAAATTTTTTTCAATGTGATAATTTATTTCTCCTGGTAATACAAATAAAAACTTGTTTTTATATAGTTCACTGCAGATACAGTCCAAAAACTACATCATATCGAGTAATTCTATGTTTGTGATTTGTTATAATACACAGTGTTAAGAAATTGACCAAATTGAATCCTTTGCCCCCCCCCCCGTGGCACAGCGGAATGTCTGCGGACTTACAACGCTAGAAACCGGGTTTCCATACCTGTGGTGGGCAGAGCACAGATAGCCCATTGTATAGCTTTGTACTTAACTTCAAACAGCAACATCCAATCCCTTGTTTTCTATGCAAAATACCAAAGGGGACGCCAGCAGAAAACAATGTGATTAGTTTTTGTATTCATAGCATTGTTGTTTAATGTTTTTTGTGTGTTACGCTTAGGGACCTTGTAACCAGTAAAGCCACAAGCAATTTGGTGCATGAATACTTTCAAGAATTTGTTTGAAAAGCCGATTGGGTCTGAATTTTATCAGTAATTCTAAAATTAAATTGTTGTTCACTTTTAGGAATAACTGAACTTATTCTTATTTTTATCTAATAAAGATGTTAAGTTTGGAGAGAAAGTATAATTAGTCTAAGGTTAGACTGCGATTCGTTATGTCTTAGCTGATGCTAATCGAAGGAAATGTGACATTTGATATCTATCGTTTTAGTTGAGATAGCATTTTACAGACTTAGATTTCAAATTTTTCTAACAAGTTTTTCCTTTAATAATGGGTTTTCAATGTGAGGAAGCTACTGGAGCGATTACCTTCCTATTATACACGCTTGCTTGCTACCTTAGTGAGAATAATGAGATCACATCGAAATCCTTATTGATGGCGCACGTAACTATATCTTGTCTAATGATATTTCACGTAGAAAGACTTTTTAACATTGTTAGTGATGTGAATAATTTGTAATACTTTAAAAATCAGACAAAAGGTTTTTCGATAATAGTTGTATTTCTACGAAAAGTAAGGGTGCGTACTTACATTTATATATATAATTGTTTAAATATTATTTTCATTCTTACTGAAAATAAATGAGTTTATAAACTGAGTTGTTGAGATCGTAAGATTGGATAATTGAAGTAAGTCTGCGTATAAATATTACAGTGTAAAAAATATACATTTTCATGATTTGATTCTTTAATAAATGTTTATATAAACCGTTCTACAGTTGGATGTGGCCTAGTTCTTAGCCTGCCCAGATGCTGCAAAAACACCCTCCGTACTTTGGAGGCGTGGGTGCGCTATAAGAGTGACGGTCAAATCACATTACACAAGAGTAGCCCAAAAGTTGGTGGTGGGTGTTGTTGACTAGCTGCCTTCCTTCTAGTCTATCAGATCAAAGATAGGTACGACTAGCGAAGTTATCCTTGTGTAGCTTTGCTGTAAATTACTGAAACAAACAAACAAATACTGCTCTACTAACAAGGCAGGAATAAAAGTTAATAGCACTCATTTAAGCATAAAACGCTTAAGCTTAAATAGTCGTAAATCCTTGAATACTGTCAGTAATATCGCAGGAACCTATTTCTGCGAATATCACAACCTGCGGAACTGCGTTTGTAGAAACAATAGCACCATTGCGGGGTACAATAGCACCATTTCTTATGTTTAATAAGTGAGAGTTTGTAATGTTAAAGGTCAAAAGAGGTATTTATTTGATATTGTCGTAACACCTGAACAGAAGTTGTTACTTTTGTGGAATACTTGTTCAATACAACTACAGCAAACATTGGAACAAAAATTAGTCTAAAAAATTAGCGTGAGCTCAAAAATACCGAAATGACTGAATTCAGCAAATAGCTTATTTTATCTGATAATTTTTAAATCAGTATATTATATCATTGCTTTGTTGGCCACGTTTCTGGTTCAGAAAGCTGGATGTACTAGAACCACATTAGTTTATCATGGTAAATAGCCTGACTTAGTCTAATATATCACAACGCTCAGTGGTAAAACAAAAACTTTCAATTCCAAGTGAAATTGAATGCGATGCTAAGTTTAAAGTTTACGTAAAGGTGTGGCATTTGTCTATATATACTTATATCAAGTTTTAAAGTGAAGTATTGAGTAGTAATATGTACACATTATTAATGATGGAAATGTTATACGTGGATATACAAATATTAAGATTGGAAGAGTGGGCACATGCTTACTAAGGACGAAATAATGCATACATATTATTAAGAAATAATGCACGGAATTGTGGATACACAAGTATTAACAGTAAGACAGTGGATACGTTTATATTTGGATTGGAAGGATATGTAAATGTAGATTGTTTTGCCTTCTGCATATTTTAGGCTTTCCTCTTCTTCCTTTTTATACTTGTTCATTTGGTTGAATTGGTTGATTTACCGCCTTTTACTCGTGTAATGGGTGAACTATAGTACTAAGACTATTACATTACCAACTGGTGTATTAGTTGGTGAACTTTTTTTATGTTATTGTAGTTAAATGTATATTATATCTTATAATGATGCAAAGGTCGTTTACCTGTACAAGGTGGTTTATCCGATCACATGCCAATAAAAATCAAATATCAATAGTAATTTCAGATCCAAACTACCAATATTCACATAAACTAGCTAATACGACAAGATTAACTTGAAAAAAAAATTGGCCTTTTTGCTGTCTCTTTATCAGTTCGGATTAATCATTTCTATGTTGTATTTTGTATTCACACATCACTTATTTATGTAGAAAAAATGTTTTTCAGTAATTTTATAACATACTTCTCTAAGTCCCTTATATTCTATGATCTTAACTATCTTTAAGTAAGCTTAAAGGTTCAGCCCAAGGAATTTGTTTTACTGTAGTAATTGGTGTATTTTTCTAATTTTAACTTAGTGACAAGCAAATAACAATAATTCTTAATAATCACACACATACAAACACACATCCACACATATTTATATAGACACACACACAAATATATTGCTAGAAATTAATATACATGTATTCAAATACTTTTCAGGTTCGTAGTAAATCATTTTTGT